AGATATAGTTGGTCCATTTGATATACCATCACTTGATGGAAACAGGTATTATCTTACTTTTATCGATGATTTCAATAGAAAAAGTTGGGTGTATATTCTTAAAGATAAATCGAAGCCCTTGATAAATTTAAGGAGTTCAAAGCAATGATAGAAAAACAAAATGGACGGTATTTGAAGATATTTAGATTCGATAGAAGAGGCGAGTACACCTCAAAGTTGTTTGAAGGTTTCGTAAAGAAAATGGAATCATTCATCAGTTAATAGCCTCATATACACCACAACAAAATGGCATTGCAGAAAGAAAGAATCATACAATTCTTGATATAGCAAGGAGCATGGTGAAAGGAAAGCGATTACCGAGAAATTTTTAGGCTAAAGCCATTCTATGTGTTGTTTATTTACTTAATCGATGTCCAACAAAAAGTGTAAAATTCAAAACGCCTAACGAAGCATGGAGCGATAGCAAGCTCTGCAGTTAGACATCTCGGGATTTTTGGATGCATTGAATATGCCCATGTTCCCGACCGAAAAGAAAGAAGTTAGATGATAAAGAAGAGAAATGTATCTTTATTGGCTATGAGAAACGGAGTAAAGCATATAGATTGTACAATCCTTTGACCAGAAGGTGATCATCTCACGAGATGTTGAGTTCGATGAAGCAGATCATCGGAGATGGAGCAAAGAAGATAAAGAAGTTAAAGGACTATTTTTTAATGATGACAATGATTATGACTTCAACATACAAAATAAGCAAGGTGATGACCAGACTCCTCCACAAAGTCCAACTTCAACAACACCCGAATCGACACCATCAACATCGTCGGAAGCGACAACGAGTAGCAACAATTCGGGGGAGCACTCGAAAACCTATGGATTTTAAATGATATTTATGATTCCACGGAACTTGTGCGAGACAACATTCAATTACTTCTTATTTTGTTTAACAACGGAGTGTGATCCAATAATGTATGAAGAGGTCGCTAAAGAGGAGAAGTGGAAAAAGGCCATGAATGAAGAAATTACCGCAATAAAAAGAAATGACACATGGGAATTAACTAGTCTTCCAAAAGGACACAAGGCAATAGGAGTTAAGTGGGTGTACATGACAAAGACTAATCAGAAGGAAAAGTGAAAAAATATAAGGCAAGATTAGTTGTTAAAGGCTATAAACATATATAAGGAATAGATTATGAGGAGGTGTTTGCTCTAGTTGCAAGAATTGATACTATTAGACTTCTTACAAGCAGTCGCAGAACAAAATAAATGAAAGATTTATCGGATGGATATGAAATCTACATTCTTGAATGGGTTCCTAGAAGAAGAGGTTTATATCGAGCAACCACCAGGATATGTTAAAAGGGATAGGAAGACAAAGTCTACCGATCGAAGAAAGCTTTATATGGATTAAAGCAAGCTCCACCGAGCATGGAACACAAGAATAGATGAGTATTTTCTAGAAGAATGGTTTTGCAAAAAGTCCGTATGAGCATGCCTTGTACACGAAGAAAAATCAAGATGGTGATATTATGATTGTGTGCCTATATGTGGATGATATAATCTTCACGGGAAATAATCCAGGTATGTTCAATGATTTTAAGAAAACTATGACTAAAGAATTTGAAATAACGGATATTGATGAAATGTCATACTTTCTTATAATCGAGGTAAAAAAAATAGAAAATGGAATATTTATGTCACAAAAGAAGTATGCGGAACAAATTCGAACAAGTTCGGAATAAAGGATTGCAAGCCGGTAGCTATACCGACAGAAACAAGTATGAAGTTAAGGATAGATTCGAACGGAGAGTCCGTAAACCCGACACTGTTCGAGAGTCCGGTTGGAAGTTTGAGGTACTTGACTTTCACACGCCCGGATATTATGTACGTCGTTGGACTCGATCCGTAGATATATGGAGAAGCCAAAGCGAGGATCACTTCATTGCAGCAAAGAGAATTTTGAGATATGTCAAAAGAACAACAAATCATGGTTTATTTTATATATTTTCTCAAGATTCAAAGTTAGTTGGTTACTCATATAACGATTATGGTGGGGACTTTTGAGTATATAGTCATAACAAGCATGTACATGTCAAACAATATGGTTGAAGAATACTTTGAACGAGTTATATCATGAACAAGAAGGTCCAACTACAATATAGATTGATAATAAATCTACTATATCACTTGCGAAGAATCCAATATCACGTAGCCGAAGCAAACATATAGACACAAAATATCATTTTATTCGGAGCAAGTGAAAAACAAAGTGGTGGAGCTAATTCATTACGGAATAGAAGATCAACTTGCAGATATTTTTACAAAGCCTTTGAAGACCGAAGTATTCCACAAACTTAAAGGAAAGCTTGGCATGCAAAGTCGGGTTTGAGGGGGAGTGTTAGAAGTCAAACCCGTTGCAATGAAGCAACAAATCACGACCACAAAAATGTACAAGGGAGGTGGTAAAAAATGGCCGCCAATTAAAGAAATTCGTGAGTTGTACATGGGCTGGAACATGGCAATCGGACGTGAGCTTTGCATGGGCTGGAATTGAAAGCAAAATTGGAAAGGAATTGTGGTCATCAACTTTATATAGCTACCAAAGATATCCAAATTAGGCGGTGAAGCTTTATATATATATAGGTCCCGTATGCTCGATATATGTATAAGAAATAGAGAGATCACAAGAGAAAAGAGAGAGGAGAAACCGAGATAGCAGCAGCTATCAAGAGAAAAAAATTGAGAGTATTGTAACACCCATCTATTAAGAGAATATTTTTGAGAGAGAAGAAATTTCTTTTGTAATCACTATATCATCAATATATTTCTATTTGAATTAAAGCCCAACATGCTTCCAACGTCAACATCATCAACTTCTTGTGCTAGTAAAGCACTAATAGATTCCTAAGTGGAGATGAGATATGAGATCATTAGCTCTCTTTTTATTGGCATGTCATGGTGGATGGGGTGGCTAGAATTCTTTTGATGTGCTAAAATGCTTTTTATTGAGTTGGTCTCCATAAAAATAACATAATCTTTTTCAATCGAACAAGGAATGAAATCGATATTTACGCCAATATAGGTACAAAACATCTTATATAAGACATCTTTCTAATAAATCTTTTCAAATTGTTTTTGTATCATTAGTAGAGGCATGGATCATATAACCTCTATCTTGGATGGATCAACATTAACCCCTTCCGAAGGATTACGAAGCCGAGAAACTTTCTCTCTCATACTTCAAAAGCATATTTTAGTATATTCATTCTTAGCTTGTACTTGATCCACCTCCTAAATATCATTTCAAGTGAGACAAATAAGCTTTTTTTCTTTTTAATTTCACAAATATATCATCAACATAATCTTTTATGATATCATACATCATATAATAAGAGAGTGATGTCACAAGCATGCTAAAAAGTTACACATGTATTCTTTAGTTTGAAATATATGATCTGTATAATAAAATTTTTCTAATGGCAAGTGAAAGGTTGTCTAACAAGCATCAAGTTCAAACAATTTTTTTTATTATTATTATCTAATTGTAGCCACTAAAAACAACAAAGAATAAAAACATATCATGACCAACAGTTGCATCAATCAAAACATCACTGGTGGGAAGAGAAAAGTCATATTTTGAGCATGCATCGATGAGATTGCGAAAACACACACACACCCTAACTTGTCCATTCTTTGGTGACTTGGACAATATTGGACAACTAAGTGCTGTGTTGGATTGGCTTGATGAACTGAGTCTTCAACGATTTTTTTAATTTCTGTCTTGATTTTTTTGTAGTTAGTAAATGCACTTACCGACGACGGTTGCCACCAATATATTAGCAACATGATTTTTTTTTTCATTTTTTTTACCTTACAACAGCAGAATGTCAACTTCACCAACTTTGTACTAAATTTGATGGCTATTCCTCCATTTTTTTTCATTCGAAGATTGCTCTTGAAAAGGTGAAAGAAACCTCACACTCCTCAAGGAAGGATAAAGTCATTCAGTTCAAACAAATGTAAACAAGGCCGAACCGAATGTGGTGCTTAGGCTTAACATCTCAGCTAGCCCACTTATAATAAAACAAGCAAACAAAAAACACAGCCAATTGATAGTCTTATGTATAGTATAATTTTAATTTTACAAGTCACAAAACTAGCTTCTTGCATGTTAATTGAATTGCCGACCAATCGTCTAATGAGTATATTAGAACGCAAAGAGAAACACACAAAGTACATAGACCTTTCCATCAAAATTGTAGCGTAATATTTCATCTTCTAATTCGGCTTTTTTCACTTTGAAAATCAGCGAAAGTAAGTATAAATCCCACTCCTTTCCATTCCCTTCTTTCCCATCTCCAAAACTAAACTTATGTTGGGTGGAGATGGAGACATTGAATGAATAACCTAGAGATCGAGACATGGGTCATATTTGTTTACAATCTTTCCATTGTATTAGTTTTGGAATAGCTTACGTCCAACAAGACCGAATTTGCTCATTTTATTTTATTAATTTTTTTTTTTTTTTTAAGTCCATCCTCCTCTCTTCTTTTTTAACCAAATAGTTAGAGAAAACAAACGAAACTTTATGCGCATGGGGTGCGTCTTCCATTTTTCACTCCCTCAAGTCTCACCCAAACAGGCAAATATAAGTAACACAAATCTTTTGGATTTACCAATTTCTGCCTCTGGGCTCAGGAGCATGGGGTGGACCTGCATGCCCAAACAAAACTTTATGCGCGTCTGCCCCACGTCCCATAAATTCACGTGGACACAACATTAAATCCGTCACCAGGATGGATACCGACAAAATAAAATAAAATAATCTAGTACTCGATTCTCCGTCATGAACAAAAAATCCACGTCATTCATTACCACATTATCAACTCCAAACCACACTTTAACGAACGAGCTACCCAAAAACCAACAATACCGAAATCAAAGAAAGAGAAGAGACAAATAATTATTATTAACAAAAACTAACGTAAATTACATTACAGTTTTTATGGGATTAAAGGGCTGAAGCTCTTGCATTCCATTTGTGATTTTTGGGCACCACCTTGACAAAAGAAGAAACTAACAGGACAACGGTACAAACAGTTGTCATTCAATCTTACATCAGCAAAACCTGGTTGGAGCTCCATTAGAGGACCCGGTATGGGTCCATATAAGTAATTCCCTCCTAAGAAAAGCCTAGAAAATGGAGACAATCCGGATCCGGATAAAACTGTTTTTATGGCAAATTGAGTCGGTATCATACCTGAAAATTTGTTGTTTTCAAGTGATAAAGCTGAGAGCTTTGGCATTAAGGCCATGAAAGAAGGCAAAAAACCGCTAAGCTCATTATTGCTTAAATCAATGGCTATTGCTTCACTTTGGAGAATTGTGGTTAATGGGAATGGTGGGGATTGTACGGACGTGAAAGAATTGAAAGAGAGAGTGAGTTGTTGAAGTGAAGGGTGAGTGAAGAGGAGTAAAGGGACCGAGTCACTGAGTTTATTGTGACTCAAATCAATTACTTGTAGAAAAGCTAAGTTTTTTAAGCTTTGAGGCTCTAATTTGCCTTGTAAGCTATTGTTTCTCATTGAGATTTGAACTAAAGATGCTGGTAATGTTAATGGGACGTTACCTGATATGGCATTGTCACTTGCATCTAAAAAGTAGAGATTTTTAAGTGCACCCAGCTCGGGAAACTCACCAACTAGCTTGTTTGATTGAATTTCGAGCCTTTTTAAACTAACAAGACCATTGAAACTTGCAGGAATATTGCCTTGAAGGTTGTTGTTGTCCAAATACAGCTCTTCCAGGCTACTTAATGAGCCAATCGAGGTTGGGATCTCACCAGAGAACAAGTTCCTCGATAGGCCGAGTCGACTCATTTGAGACAAGTTGGATACAGACTCAGGAATTTGGCCATAGAAGTAATTATTTGAAAGGTCAAGTGTTTGTAAATATGGTAGGTTCCAAGAAATGGAAGTGAGTGCACCCGAGTAACCCGCCTGATCAAGACTGAGCTCAGTGACTCTACTTGACTCGGATACTACAGTGTCACACCTGAACCCACAAGTGAATCTCTCACTGAACAAACTATCACAAGGGTCAACAGTAAAATCCCATGAACTCATGCAAGAACCTGGACTCACTGAGTTTGGGTCCACTGCTTTCTTGACCTCCTTCAAAACCTTTATATCAGCCCAATATGTCTTAGACTCTACCTCCCCTAACATCCCAGTGACTGTAAAGAGCAAAAGAAGAGAAAACGAAGCAAATTTGAGAGTGCCCATTTGCTGTTTTTTTGCTACAACTGAATGTGGGAACTGAAAGCTTGAAATTTGAAGATAACAAGATAAGGAGATTATTGAAGAGAGGGGAAGAAGGAGAAGAATGTATGAGAGTCAATCAGGACCGTTCATTAATGGAATCAGAGTTGAGAGGAGGACAGAGTGGGGAAGGGAAGACAAGAAAAAAATGGCTTTCGGAGGAGGTACTATTTTTACCACCTTTGGGGTGAGCGATCTTTTTTTGTTAGTGGCTTCACGGGGGACTTGTCAGAGCCTTCTTTAAGTGTTTCCTTGTATTTATATATTTATTTGTATGGATGCGTGTCTGCGACAAGAAAGAAAGAGGGGGATGGATGAGCTGTCTTTGTTCTTGATATCATCATCATCGTCATCATTATTCACCATCCATGATTTCTTGAAGATAATTTCAGTAAATTGAATGATGAGAACAAGGGAAGAAAGCAGAAAACGAAGAGAGAACATCATTCACTACTTGTAAACTTGTTGGGGGTAAATTTATGGGCAAGAAAAGTTTTTCATGAGTAGAGTACTCAGATTCTGTACAGTACAGAATTGGTACTTCACTTTATATATACATATATATATATATTTCAAGTCCCATGTCACGTGGGCGCACTTGTTACCGTTGATATCCACATGCATAGTAACCAGTGGCATGGATGAATGTTTGGTTGGTGGTTCTGATATCGATAATAGCATATTCTTGATTAACTTCCAAATTAATTGAATGAAGCATTTGGGTTCACCTCCATTTACACAAATGGAAAACTTTGGTCCCATTAATTGCTTTGAATGAAGGGAATAACAGAGGGGTGCATGGCCTAGATTAGTATTAGAACCAAAAGTAAGTTCTTAATCATGACAAATTGCATGGTGCTGGTTGTACCCGTTGAATTATTAGAATCAAATGCCAGCATTTATGATGCAGTTGTTGCAGATGCTCTCAAGGTGGTGGAGGAAACAACTAACTTCGAATTTTGACATATGATTCAAAGCCACCAAATTTCCAGAACATAGATTCTCACTCCTTACGGCAACCAACATCCAATATTATAGTTCAAAGAATCCTTCATTGCCGAACAATCGTATAATTTTCTTGACTTTTTACTTTTAATTTCCAAAATGTTGTCCCTTTATTTTAGTCTAGAAGCAAGGTACTGTTTGTAAGATAGAATTGAATTTTGATTAATTTCCGTGCCATGCATCCATGACCAGTCCTTAGTTCCAAGAGTAATTAGTGGAGGCAAAGCTTTAGTGAAATACAAGCAAACCGTTCTTTTTCCTCTCTTGTTTTTTACTACCAATAAATAACTGCTGGTGGGGGATCCTATCATATTTTAAACCGGGTAGTTGGGGCACACTTAGTACTGGCTAACGTGAACTGCAAATAATGTTGTGCATAAATTTCACAATGTTACATGTCTCTGCTTGCACCACAGAGTGATAAGACAGTAACATAACATTATCCTAGTGATCTGTACTGGTTGGAAGGAACTCAAGAATGGTCCTAACACAAGGGATCAGTTGGTCACAGAGGACACGTTGAAGGACAGAAGCCACAACTTTAGATCTTCCTGGTAGGTATCTAGTGTACAATCGGTGACCATCTAGTACAGAGCAAGAGCCTGCATAGGGTTACTTCTCAGTGTGTCTTGGTTTTGTACATCATATTTGCCAAGTATCCACTGGCCATGCCATTTAGTTCCCGTCTGGTGAAAGTCAAATTTCACCAAACTGGTCCACTGACTGGGGTAAAAAGTACAACTTTGAGTAAATGGAGTTACAAAGACTTCTTATCATCACCTCAGTGCTCATCCATGTTTCCTCAATGCAATCAAAATCCCTTACACGGGAGAGGAAATTGCTGATAATGATGGCTGCCAAAACCATCGCAACGAAAACCACGTCTAAAACCAAAATTCAAATTCACTCGCTCTCCCCCCTGGTCCATTCACGATTCTTTAGTGGAGTACCATGAATTATGAAAAGATGGAAGACCTACAATGCACACATACACGGACTAAAATAGTAACAGCAAGGGAAACATAAGCATCAGCAATTCAGCATTGACTGTCCCAATTTACAAGGCTAAAAGTTGACGAGAGTTGGCACCTTCTTCACCCAAAGGGAAACAATAGAACAAACAGTTCTCTCTGACAATTTGAGCTATCCTAATTTCTCACTTTCGGGATCCACTATTATTCATATACATAACATGGATTATCTATACATTATTGGGACTGCATGACATATGGTTGGACAATACAAATGATAGCAACAGGGGATACACTGGAGTAAGACTAAGTTTTTTCCCGCTCTAAGAAGCTTAAACTGGAAAAAAAGAAAAAAAAACTGGTGATGATTTTTCCCAAGTCATGGAACCCCTTCAGACCATTCAAACTTGATATTAGTTTCTCGGGGGATAATCCCTTTGTCTGACCATTCAAATTTGAAATTGTCATCTTCGTGATTTTTGGTAACATTCGCCAGATGCTGCCTCACAGATTTGCTATTCGCTTCAAACACAAACGCCATTTCCCTAATCTGCAGATTCAACAATTTCAACAGTATTAATTGTCTTGCACAGGAATAACAAGCCAAGGCAAGAAATAAGATAGCTTCAGTATGAAAGGAAAGCGTAAAATGCAATAGAGCATATAAATGACAATATGAAAGCCAGACCATTCCAAATAGTTTCAAACTTGAAAAAATGAAGACAGCAGAAGCAGCATACCTCAATCAAACTACTTGACCTCAGACCCATACTCTGCCCAGTAGTAAGTTCTTTACCATTCAAAAATATCGGACTCTTACCAAGATTCTTTAAAAAGAAAGAGCCATCTCGTTCCATCTTTATGAGTGCCTAGCAAATGAGAGAAACCAGTTATAATTTCATGCAAGTCAGAGAAGCATAGGATCTCAAAAAGCTAAAAAGTGGTGTCAGATAAGAACTAATATAAGCAGCGAATATTTTATCAAAAGAAACAACCATCTAATTCCCAGTTTTATTAAATGTGTGGCATAGCTGAACAGAGTTATAGACTAATAACATATGAATTGCGCACAAATATCTCTCATCTTTGAATTATAAAATAGTTCCTCAGGTGAGGGAAACAATGATCAGGATCCTTGGCCAAATTCAATGATTGTGAGTTACACATCCAATTCCACAGAATTTTTCCCTAATAAATTTTTTGTATTCCTTTATTGCTATTGTTTTTTCCCCATGTCTTTGTCCTCTTCAGTTTCATGTTCCCTTGAGTTTTATACTGAATAGTGATGTTCAGATATGCAGACAGTCACAGACCATGATGTCTGCATAAAAAAATTAGATCACCTACAAGTCTGTATCCATAAATCAAGGAGAGGTTTGTCAAGTAAAAAAGAACAACATAAACTCAAGGCCTGGCAACCAGCTGTAAATGCAAAATCTGGGAAGTCAGAATCAAAAGAAACTCCGAGAAATCTCACCTGCCGTCTTGATATTTTGTTGGCAGGACCTTCTCTTCCCAAATCAATATCAACATCCATATCATCTGTTGCTCTGCCAAGCACAGCCTACAGATAAGCAGAAGGGTTCATAAGAACAAAAGAGCAATCATACATGTAGATAACTTATCAGTCCCATATATGTTTTGTAGAAAAAGAAAAGGTCAAACACCGATTTAACATACCTCAGTGTCCTTTATATAATGCTTCAAATGGCGTCCATACAAGATAGCAAGTGCTCCTCGAGATGCAAGGGCTCTTTGCATAGAAGATCGAGCACACTGTTCCAACCTTATAATTGCCCTTGTGGCATCTTCATTCTGATATCTTGAGACTAGAAAGTTCAATTTAACAGAAATTAGGTCAAGTTACATAAAAAAATAAAAATAAAACAACAACAACAACAATAACAAAAGTAGCAGAGTCATTCCAACTGTCTGTCTAAAGAATCAAAATGTCTTTCTCCTTTATTAGTTAATTGATGTTATTCACCAAATTCAATTAATTAGAACACCACTATCACCAACTACCACAAGCAGTTAAAACTCATCTGAGGCAAGTGCACAAATATATATACCCAAGGGTGTGACTCTTAGGTCAGTAGAGTTTGCACAATCAAGTAAAACAAGAAGCAAATATCGATGCCCAACCTTCTTGATTAACAAATGAATCTGAATCGTCCGGGCATAGATCCATTTCAAGTATCTGAAGAAAAACAAAAAGGTGACAATCTAGGAAATGTATTTAAACAGAAATTCTGAGAGGGCCACCAATTATAGAATAATTTACCATGGCTTCAATGTCTGAAAAGCAGGGAACATCATCATCACTCCCAGATTCTTCCTGATCTGATGTTGAGGGTGCTGCGGTAGCTTTTATAGGGAAACTTAATTTTTCATATAATGACTCTGACTTTAGCAGTCCAACTGTGGAAAGAGTAGGAGTTCCCGGGGCTGCTCTGCACTGAATTGGGTCTACATGGGCTGTGATAGCTTGTCTGGACATCAGAGCAGGAAACTCACATTTGGCTCCACAGAGAACATGTTGGTGTCTTGGACTGGTTACTGGCAACATAGACTGCCCAACCATCCGTGGAGAAGTAAGACATTGAGCAGGATTTTCTTCTTTCATCACGATTAGCTCTTGTTTGCAAACTTTTTGATTAGCACTCGAGGAAGACAGGTAGGGAGTCTTGTTAGAAGTTTGCTCCATTATGGGAGAAGCAAATGTTTTAGTTACGAATACATCATCATTGCATGGGATCTCAGAGTCCTCCATGTTTATTGTGCACTCCATTTCTCCCTTTTCTTCGGCAGACAAAATATTTGGCGATGATGGCGCATTCATTTCTGACACAAGATGACTATCCTGATTGCCACCAACAGAGCGTGAATCCTCTGGAATAGCCTCTAACTCTGCAGGGGATGCACCATCAGGAATTCCAAGGCTTGTATCTGAAGCTAATGTCTCTGGATCTTTAACATCGGGCACATCACCCAGAACATCATTAGGAGAACTAACCAAAAGCGAAGTAGTAATGCTATCGTAACATTTATCTATTGCATCTTTCCTATCAACATCCATAAAAAGTGGCGCATCCTCATTTGGAAAGTTCAAGAGCGAGTCTGAAATATCTGGAAAATCAGATTCTGAAATAGCAGTTGAGCTATGAAGTACATCAACAGTAGGTTCATCTTGCAACTCTTCTCTTGAGTGATCAGCATCCACTCCCGCCAATCTTACTTTATTCCCATCCACATCTTCATGATTTACTAACATATCCTCTCCACTTTGACCTTTACCTTCAACACTCGCACTAACTGGCATTTCAGGCACAGAAACATCCTCCATCGCTTTCCATAACGGCACCCTTGGTGCCAAAGACTCAATTCCCTCCACCTGAATCAAAGCATCACTTTCCAGCACACCACATGGCCCGGCTTTCCCACCTCTATCAGAATCTCGAAACTCAACCAACCCATCTCCAACATCCTGCACATCCTTTCTCACATTTTCTCTCTCAAAACACACATCCCCCACCCCTCCTTCATTCCCCCCAACAAATTCAAGATGCCCTCGATCATCCTCTCCAAACCCACCATTCCCACCAAATCCAACATTCCCTTCACAACCACCACCATTGGGCGAACCAAGAAAACCATAATCACCACACCCTCCACCACCACGCTTCCGCATTTTCTTCCTCATTGCATAATACAAATGCCTAACACATTCGAATTTTCTCTTAACAGAATCGCTTTCTTTCAGAACAACACCAAATTTATTATTACTATTGTTATTATTATTTATTTTCGGCAAGGAAAAATTAGAAAGTCCTAACTGTACCATTCTACTAGACGCTTCCGCCGAAACATCATTATCATACAGTAAAGAATGCCACCGATCCCTCAATTCACGCACACTGAATTTCCTCGAAAATCTCACCGCTCCTTTCGCTAAGGCTTCCAACGATGCTCCTGCCTTTAATTAATAAAACACCAACAGCACAAAGAAATAATAATCAATTGCAAGAAATGAATTTTTTTTTGATAGCTAGGGTTTGGTGTAGATTTGAGGAATTCAGAAAATGAGAATTGTGGAATGGAACTGAGAGAAAAGAGGAATTGAAATTACCTCGATAGCGTTTTTTAACAAGAGGTCGTCTTCGGGGATCCATGGAGGAGGAATTGAAGTGGTGGTAGGAAGAGTAGTAGTGGCAGTAGCAGAAAGTGCTGCCATAAACGAAAATGTGATAGGTTATAATACAAGAGATTTGGATTTTTTGGAGTGGAATTGGAGGGGGAATTTGGGATTTGAATTCCGAGGATTTGATTTTTATGGAAACAGGAATTGGAATTTGGAGTGGCTTTTGTTGATGGTTCTTACGGGATTTTGGAGGACTGAGAGTGAGAGAGTGGAATTCAAAAACGCGGGTAACGTTTCTGTGAAGATCCGTTGGGATATTACGTTACTGTTACGGGAGAGAAGGTTTGTTTTAAACGGCGTCTGTGAGAACTGGATTCTGTGCTCAAGGCCAAGGAGCTTTTTTTTTTTTTTTTTGACAAAAAAGTTAACCTTTTTGTCTGATGAGTCTCTGGCAAATGCTCATTTTCTGAAGCGTTGCTTCAAACTTGATATTGAAAGTCTAAAATGAATAAAATGTTGGGCAGTTGGCTTGAATCAATTAGAAAAAGACTAAATTGATTTTTTTTTTTTTTTTACAAATATTGGAGTTGAATTGAGCTTAAAAAAAAAAAAAAAAAAAAATCTTCTTTCATATTCACACTATAAAACTTCAAATAGCAAAAACAATAATTTTAACCTCCAAAAATTATCAATTTTCGTATCTCTTCCAAATTTGAAAAACATTGAGGGTATTACTTTTTAATTTTATTAATATTAATTACCTCCTTAATTAGTTAGAAGAAAAAATAAGAAATCATTTTGTATAATTTATGGTCGCTTTAAATGTTAAAAGGATGAAAACTTAATTAGTTAGAAAAAATATTCTGTGTAACAAAAGAAAAGCAAGTAAATCAAATTTTTATTTTTTATTTTTTTCATGAAAAGGCCATGAATTTTAATAAAAAATAATCTTCTTGTTATATAATATATAATTAAATAAACTAAAATTGCTAAAATTCGAACTTATTTTGTTGAAAATAGCTATTAAACTCCAGTATTAAAATCAAAATACCCCGTAAATCTAAGATTTCATAATAAAAAGTATTTATATAATAAATGAATAAAATGACGTTGTCGTAATTAAAAACTCTAATTATATATGTGTGTGTGAAGAAGATTTTTGATTAATTAATTAATAAGGAATGACATTAATTCCTTGTTCAAATCACAATCTAATAATTAAGTTGCCAAACACGTTACCAAATTACAAATCTATGAAAGCATTTTCACTTCAAGGCTTAACATAGATTATATTAATTAATTATTCAATATTAGATAGTATCTCTAATTAGTACACCCATTTAGATGAGATGACTGAAGGGGAATCACGGCCTCTAGCACCACTCAAGGAAGGCGAAGTTCATGGGTTCCAAATCCACCTCCAAGGTGAAGATTAGGGTGGTGGTGGTGGTGGTTGTGCCCTTGGTGCAGGCGGAAAGCAAAGAGGTTGGAAGCCCCATTTGCAAGTGCAACAGCAGATTCATAATCTCCTTCATTGTCTACCAAACCATATTGTGGATCCTCCATTTTTGCTTCCTTAAATTCCAAAACACCAAAACAAAAACCTCAGGTTAATTTAATTAACCCTTGGGTTTTTCCCAAATTGAAAAATGAACGAAAACAACAAATAAAAGTTTAGATTAATTCTTACATATTCCATCAAGAGGTTTCCATGTCTCTCCTCTAAATTCCTCACCTGCAATTAATCATCGGAGAGATTTGTTGTTTCAAAAGCTACATGCATGAGATTGAAAACGTATAGTTTTTTATTTTTTATTTTTATTATCACTAACCTTCTTCCTGTAGGTTTCGGTTTGGGTTTTGATCACATGGTACTGTAAACAATAAAGAATATTGGAATCGTTAGTGTAAACTGTTAATTTGACAAGGCATATAATTCCTTCAATAGAGTGACGGCACCCAAAATCCAGTTCAATCCATCATGCGAAGATAAAGAAGCATAAGTTAATTAATGAGAGGATTTCCAAAGAATCCCAAAATGATAAAAATTGATCCAATGGAACTTGAAGAATTAAAAGATTATGCCCACAAAAATACCCCCAGCCAAACCAAATCACTGTCAAGCTCAAATTTTGGGAGTTAGGAAAGCCAGAAACTTGATATTTATATAAAAAGATGCTAGCTTAAGAACAACATCTGACCTTCCTGGCACGTACACCATTCAAGGCTTCATTCATATTTTGCTCAAGACTGCGCAGATGATCAATGCTCAGATCATTCAGGTCCTCTCCTATCCTTTGCCTGTTAAAAAGAATACCTTAATAATTAGCAGCACCACTTTACAAATATTCCCCTAAAAACCTTAACAATGTTTGTGTGTGTGTGAAGGTTCTTTATTTTTTGAAAGTTACCTGATTTCTTTTCTCAGCTTATGATTGATATCTTTCAGCTTCCTCAGGTGCTCTTTCATTTTCTGCAAACCTCACAACCAAAATCCTTTGAAGAATCTCATATTTCTCTTATAGATCAAGCATTAGAAGAAATATATAGAAAGGAAGCTTAACCTCGTATTGAGTGCTCCACAGATCTATGCCTAAAGCCTTCTGATACTGATCGTAGATCTTCTTTGTCCTGGTCATAACAATAAAACCGAAACGTACAGTTCCATTGCTAAGGTTTCTTAAAACTGCAACATAAAAGACAGGGAAAAAAAAACAACAAGAAGAAAGCTCTAAAGAAATACTTATAGATAACCATAATACTGTCTACGTACGATGTGGAGGGGCTAATGTACTCATGGAATTTGTTAGTGTTGGAGAACATGATAAGAGAGACCTTAGCATCACAAAGAACAGTGAGTTCTTGGGCTTTCTTGAAAATACCATTTCTTCTCTTCGAGTAGGTGACTTGCCTGTTTGTGGGGTTTTCAATCTTCTTGATCTCAATCTTTCCACGACCCATTTTTTTTTTTCTTGGCTTCTTTGTGAAAGCTCAAGCAGCACTGAGGGAGAGAGAGAAAACAAGGGGTTTCTTGCACAGTGCCTAACGCTTATTGAAGGGAAAGAGAAGAGACGAAAGAAAGGAAGAAAAGTGATTCAAGTGGGGTTTCTAAATAAGGAAAGGGAGATGGAAAGTTGATTGTTGCGTAACTTAGAATGTTTGTGGCATTTGAGATAGGATTTTTGAAGGGTAGTGTGTGAAACTAATACTGGGAGGCTCACTGACCTTGACAGGACATGAAAGCAATTTACTGATAAGACCTTTCCTTAAGCCGGTTCCATGAAATGTGTTAGGTATGGTCAGTTGGTGATGAGAATACTTCATAATTCCGTGCAAAGCTGTTCAATGTGTATGCATAAATCATCCATTAGAAACTAACCAGAGGGAAGCTATCATTTCGTCTGTATTAGTTCGTCAAATGATATTTTTTTGGACTTTGGAATCTTTCTTTCTTCATTGGACATTGAAGACATCCTTATCTAGTAATAGTACCTCTGCTACTTATTTATTGAGACCTTAGTCTCTGCCTTTCTCCTCTATACCCAAAAAAAAAAAACTCAACTAACTAGACGTATGAGTGTTGGCGATAGGGATATAATTTTGGTAATTTAATTATTTATATATAATCTATTGTTTAGAGATTTAATTATATTAGTGTAACTCCGTTTGTGTAATGTCATAATCATTATAATTATTTTTGTTTGTATTGTTCTTATTGCGTTTAAGTGTGAGTAATAATATATTTCATACCCATGAAAAGTATATAATTTTTATAGCATTTTTTTTTCAAGTTAGTATTATTTTTTAAAAAAATGAATTTAGAAAATTTTTATCCGAAAATAAAATAAAAAAGTAATATTTTTTAAAATATAAAATATATTTTATTTTCTCAATCCATGTCGATTTTACAATCTTAATTGCTCTCATTTTTTTTTAAAAAAAAAGATATTATTTTATCCTTGATTTCATAACTTTATTAAAAAATAATAACGGTACAAATAATACAAAATTCAACTCTTATATTATCATAAAGTTTTTTTAACAACTTGAAGGACCTTGATATGGATGGATCTATAAGTGATGGTTTTCTTGATTTTATTTGTTCTTGGATCTTATCGAACAATATTTAATATACATCTTAAACCAAAGCTTATGGCATGAAAGCATAATTTACAATAAACTTATGCTAACAAATGTTATTCAAAGTATTTAGTTAAAAAATATTCTCATATTTTATCTTTTCAACTTGGTATTAATGTCTTAATTTTTGTTTTTTAATTTTATCTACATACATGGCAAGAGAGACAAGTGAATGTACTAAATTTTAATAGATGTCAAAGTATTGTTGGTTAATATTCAAACATATTAGCATGTAAAAGCAATCCACGTGTCTTAAACATAGAGCACACTTAGAATTGCATTTTTTTTTTTTTACTATTGTATATTGTATAGTGATTTATTGATATTGACAACCTTGAAGGATTGTCCTAATAGTTGAGGAGGCTAACATTTAAAAAAGCTTACAAAAATTCATTTGAATGGGATAGCCTGATGTAGAGATACATCATTAAAGTTAATTATTTAAAAAAGAAATTTAGTTTCGAATATTAATGTATAAATTGGTTTGAAAATACTTTTTATTGTTGAAAAAAATAATCAATATTTAGAAACTAATATGAAAAAACATATAACAATATGTTTAGTGTAGTTGTTACTTATGGGTTTTATGGTTGTACAAAAATAGTTAGTAATATATGTCATTACATGCTTTTATATGGAGTATATTATACTCAAAAATCCAAAAGTTTTATTTTGTAGTATAATTAGGATGTTACCAAGAACATTTTTCATTAGCTTTTGGTGCAAAAACCTCAAAAGTTCTAAAAAAAAGCCAAAAGCACCATGCATATTGCTACACAAACTCTTAATTTGAGTTATCTATTTAGAATCTAAGCTTGTTTGGTTGTCAATAAAATGTGCATCTATTAAAAAAATTATAAACTTTATAAACCTCGAATAAGATAAATAACATAAAGTTAAAAGACTCGTTATAGATTAGAGAAGTTAATTAATTATGGTACAATTGGTTTGAAATTGGTTTAGCACAATTATCTTTTCCATAATTTTAGCAATATTTTTGTATGAAAAAAATTAATTCTCTAAGATTATATGCTAGAACATTTTCATTAACCTCAAAAGGTCAGTTTGATGATAAAAAAAAAAAAAAAAGTTTGCTTACTCTCCTAACTTTCAAAGTTTGAACATTAGAATGAACCTTTCTAGAGAGGAAACTTAATCGCAATTAATGTGCAAGCTAGTCCAAAAAAATTCTTGAATTTTGAATAATTTTATTTGTTTATATTTTTGCATCACCATCTTTCGTTGAATTATTATTATTATTATTATTTGGTTTAGTTTTTTCCTATTTAATCTCATCAACGTACTAAATACATCAAAAACCATAAAAACTAAGCATTAACCAACATCAATATTGACCATTGAAACATTAGATTTGAATTTCAAATGTCAATTTTTCACTAAATGAAACACATGCAAATCTCTTATTAGCAAAGAGTTTTTTTAAAAATTTATTAAGCTACTATATAAGTTGAAACAAATTGTGTTTGTATCTTCAAAGGATGATTGAATGTTTTATGATACTTTTACGATTGAGTTGGAGTAAAGCATCGAGTCATTCAGACAAATTCAGAGGTTGTGCTGTTATTATTCCTACTTCTTATTATGTCTATAATAAATATAATGTTATGGAATTGTCAAGGTGCTGGGCACAAATTAGTCGAATTAAACTAATTGATGTGACTTGATCAAGCTTCACAAGCTAAGGATTCTCGCCATTTTTGAGCCAAGAATTAGTGGTACTGTAGCATTATTGTCATCCAACAATTGGGATTTCCTTGTCCTACTGCATTGAAGCTAATGGCTTTTCAGGTGGTATTTGGTTGCTTTAGGATGATGCCTTGGGTTTTAATTGATATTCTAAAAAATCATAGACAATTTATGCACATAATGGTGAATATAGATGGTAATATTTTATTTATTTATTGCTGTTTATGCTAATCCTAGAGGTCATTTCCAATAGCAATTTGGAATGATTTAAGGAAATTAGTTGAAGACATTTTGAAACCTTGGGTTATAGATGTTAGAAAACGAATCAAGAAAAATAATAGAATAGAAAAAACAAAAACAATCACACAACACAAAGATTTTATGGAGTTCAACAATGATGCTTACTCTACTAGCTGCATTAAGATTTCTTATTAGGTTTTGTCAAATAATGACTATAAATACAAGTTATGTTGTCGTTATTTATAGTATGGACAACTAAGGTTATAAGAAAAAAAAGGTTCAACAAGATCGCCGTATTGGATTTGTATAATATTTTATACTCGCGGATCTCTATCCACGTCAATCTCTCTAACTTAATAGTAGGTGGTGATTTGAATGCTATGTTTGGTGGTTAAAAGAAAGAGGGAGATCGTGATTTCAACAACTATAATAGTAGAGCTTTTCTCATCTTGTATTGATGATTATGGTTTATTAGACTTGGGTTTTTCTAGGCCTTTGTTTACTTGAAATATAAAGTGTTCAAGAGTGTATTGATAGAGTGGTTTGTAATGCTGATTGGTGGATTGCGTACCTTGAACCCAAGGTTATGATCCATCTGCCTCGAATCAAATCAGACCATAGACCTATCCTTCTTCGAATTAACAAGCAGAGAAAATGTAATCTAGGCAATAATAATTTTTGCTTTCAATTAGTTTGGTTAATGAGAAGCAATTTTAGTGATTTTGTTCGACAAACATGGGATTCTAATAGCACTCCCTTTACCATTCCTTATGAGGATTTTTAAAATTCGATCAAGACTTAGAGCATAAACTATTTTAGGATTTTTTTTTTTTTTAAAAAAAAACATTGGTTCTACCTCAACTGATTGATGTGGAAAAAGCTTTATCTTTTTATATAATCTCTTTCTTTTTTACCTAGAGAAGCAATTGCTAAGAGAGTATAAGGGTAATAATCATCTTGAGAAAATTATATTATAGCATTTGAATGTCATATTTTAACTTTTGACCAACCAACTTAAACATTTTCATGAGTGAAAAGTGTTTTTATTTGAACATTGCTATTTTTTTTTTTAATGTTTTGACTCATTTTCAAAAGGATAATTTAAGTTTGCAACTTAATCTATAAAAATCAAAATAATTATTCAATTATTTTTTTCAAAATAAGAGGCAATTTCCAAGACCAATTGGGAAATTAAGGAAGAAGAATCAAAATATGAAAGTGGAAGCTCAAATAGTGATTGTGCTAGGGAAATGAAAAACGTAAAATGTATGTTCTCAATCAATATTTGAAGGCATGTCATGATCCAGTTTTAACAAAAGTGAATGGTGACTAATAGAATAAGAATTACTTGGAGGCAAGGCCAAGGGTTTCTTATTTGGACAAGTGTCATATTTAGATTGATTAGGAGAGTTAGGTCAAGCCAATGGGGTTTCTTATTTTGTAGGAACCAACGTTGGTCTCGACATTTTATCTAAAAGAAAAAAATAAAAAAGAAAATGAAGTAACAAGAGCGTATGGGTGAGTTTTCTTCTACATCTTGAGTTAAAACATCCTTAGTTTATTAGATCATTCTTTACATTTCAATCATGTCAAAACATAAATGAATACGATGCTAAATTGACTAGATTCTTGGTATCATTCTTGACATACCAATCATGTCAAAACATAAATGGATATGATGCTAAATTAACTAGACTTTTGGTTTTGAGGTTCGATGTCAATTTAATATGATTTCATGATAAAAAATAAAACTTTTTATTTGTAGTTAGACAAATAAGCTTGAAAATAAACATAAGAAATATTTTAGGAAATAACTAGTTTTTTTTACCTATGCTATGCCGTAGGTCGGACATAACATATAAAATTATTTTTAAAAAATTATTTAAGTGTAATATCTCGTGTTATATTGTGTAATTACCACAATATAAATTACACAATATATCAAATCAAACTGAATAAAAATTTATTTAATTTTTTAATTAAAATTTTGTATTTGACTAATTATTCTTTATATTTTTCATCAATTTTTAATTAAAAAATATTATTTATTTATCTCTCGTCCACACTCTTAACTTAAAAAAATATAATAATGCAAGACAAAAATGTCAAAATCAATAGATTTTTAGTTAAAAATTTATTTTGTAAATTATTTTTTTCTAAACATCTTTTTGTCTTAAATTTTTAATTAAAAATAGAGACAAAAACAAGGACTAAAGTGAGCAAAATGAAACAAAAAAGGACCAAAATGAAAAAAAATCTACGGACTAAAAAAATTATGTTTAAAAAAGAAGGACTAAAATGTAATATTATGAAAACTTTCATAATAAATGCATGTATAAAGTTTAAAAACTAAAAAAATACCACTGTATAGTGAAAGAAATAGTATACATGAGTTTGTGTGAATAGTGAAATGAGTCTAGATAAATAGTTGGTGGAACAATATCAATAAATAGTATCAAAGAGTTTATAGCCTAGTGATAATGGTCTCTTAGAACAAGAGATCACGGATTTAAATCCTAACGTACTAATTCTTCTAAGATTCGTAAGAGTGTGAGTTAAAAAAATACCAATGAATAGTAAACCGACATTTTTATTTTTTATTTTTTATTTGGTTAATACTTTTAGGAGATAATTTTTAAAATTAGAGTAAATCGATATCTTTTCTGAAAAAAAAAAGCTTCTGGATAATTGTTATATTCTAATAGCATAATCAACTTTTAACTCAAAATCTTTGAATTAGTGTGATTTTAGATTTTTAATTTTTTTTATTGCTAGATAGCAACTCTAAATCTTAATTCTTTTCCTTAATTATTTTAAAAGTATGATATGTCAATTAGCGACCACTTTTGTCCAAACAAATTATCTTCTAATTTAGTTAACAAGTTTTTTTTTAAAATGTAAAGTCCAATTGTTAGAACTTTTTTGGCCTGTTATAAATTTTGGGTATAACAATTACTCAGCAATCAATGAATTTTAACTAGAAAATAAATGTGATAACTGCTAGAATTTGGAAATTGAAGTACCATGATAGGAAGTTAGTTGAGAGCTTTTAATACGCCATGGGAACACCGGTGGTCATTGATTGACACATTGAAAACTTGACTGCCATGGCTTTGGCTTCTGAGCGGTGACCCTACGTTGTATTTTCCGTCCGAAAACGTGACTAGACGGCGTAAGAAAGGAGAATCATATAAACAGTACATGCATATGATGATACCATCAAAAAGTTTATAGAGGTTCATATCAGTCTGGAGGGGCATCATCAATACATATAGAGCTGCTTGGAAGCAATGGAGGGTCTAGAGGGAACTTTGGCTGGCGTAAGAGAAACATTTGAAAGTGGAAGAACTAGAAGTATTGCATGGAGGAAAAGCCAACTTAAAGCCATGATTGAGTTTGTCCAAGATAATGAAGAGAAAATTTTTAAGTCACTTGATCAAGATTTGGGGAAGCACCCTGTTGAAGCTTACAGGGATGAGGTAATTGAGTATGTGAATAATTTTATATTGATTCTAACAGCCCTTTTGTCTAAACGAAGCAAAACCCTGAAATAGTCAGTTGCTATGGGGGAGAGAGAGAGAGAGAGAGAGAGAGAGAGATGTTGTTTGTACAAGATTTTTTATATCATTTATCTAGTTGTGAATTCTTTTATTTGATTGTTAATTTATTTCTTATACTAAGTTGTTTATTACCTTTTTATAGATTGGAGTAGTAGCAAAATCAGCCAAGCATGCTTTGAGCTGTGTACAGAAATGGATGACTCCTAAAAAGGTACTGTGTATATTTAGCTAGTTGGATTTTAATATTTAGCTATGGATCAATACTGCAGAAGAAACTGGGGCATAACTATGCTTTTTTGATGACTAGTTTTGTTGTTTAATGGAGATGCTTTGGACTTTGGGTAGGGCAATTTACCGCTGCTTTTCTTCCCTGCAAGTGCACAAGTGATGCCTGAACCATTTGGTGTAGTTCTCATAATGGGATCTTGGAACTTCCCTATCTGTGAGTGCAATTAATCCTTTGCTACTATTCTGTTGTGAGATTTCTTTGTAGTAGATGAATGAAACGAAGAGTTAAGAAGTCACTTGGCTCCAAAGAATAATTAGAAATCATCAACATACCTCAGGCATCCTCTAAGTTGTTGCTTCATTACTCATTAATTATAGTCCATAAGAACAGTGTGATCATTTCCTTACAATTGTTCAGACAAACTCATCAGAATCTGTTCTGTCAATGGCCTGCTTATGGAATTTAGCAGAACCAAAGATCGCTAAATCAGATTAAAAATGGATGTATGTAGTTCTCTTCCTCTCTGCTTTACATTAGATCAGGGGCATACATACATGGCGGAGAAAAAGAATGGTAGATTAGTCTCTAGTAGTTTATAATTACAAGAAAAGCTGGTGTCAAAAAAGAATGGTAGATCAGAAGGCCTACTGTATTTCTAACCTTTACTGATGTTGGATGCTGGATTACTGAACTCACCCAATAATCCTCTTGAATGCAGCGTTGACATTGGACCCATTAATAGGAGCAATATCTGCAGGAAACGCTGTGATTTTAAAACCTTCAGAGCTATCGCCAACTTGCGCTTCTTTTCTTGCTGAGACCATCCCTAAATACTTGGATCCCAACGCCATTAAGGTCATTGAAGGCGGAATAGATGTTTGCCATCAACTTCTACAGCAGAAATGGGACAAGATATTCTTCACTGGTTCCACTTCCAATCTTTTCAATTGCATATTGACGCTAGTGAGTAGTGACTTGAAAATAATTTGCATTATAATTTACTGATGTATCTTCAGGAAGTCAGCGTGTGGGTCGCATCGTAATGACTGCAGCTGCACAGCATTTAACACCAGTTACACTTGAGCTGGGTGGAAAATGTCCTGCTATCTTGGACAGCATCTCCAATCCCAATAATATGAAGGTTACTAAGTGGTTACTAGAATCTAAATGATTAAGGGATTCATTACTATAATGTTTGAGAACACTAGCTGACGAACTTTGATCTTGTTGGACTGAAGGTGATAGCCAAAAGAATAGTAGGAGCGAAATGGGGGTCTTGCAGTGGGCAAGCATGTATTGCTATAGATTATGTGCTTGTAGAAGAGAAATTTGCTTCTTGTCTGGTAATGGAAAAAGGTTTCTCACTCAATGTTATTTACCACTAGTTATGCAGAAATCTTTTTACATCCACATGTTGTTCGTCTCTTTTAGATAGACTCGCTAAGGAAAACAATGAAGCGATTTTATGGTGAAAGTCCAAGAGAATCAAAGAGCATATGCAAAATTGGAAACGAGACCAACTTCAAGAGGTTGCTTAACCTTCTTAAAGATCCTCTTGTTCAAGCTTCTATTGTTCACGGTGGTTCTGTAGATGAAGAAACAATGTAAGCTTTCCGTCTTTCCTCTTTAGTTTGAGTATCCTGAAATGACTTGCACCATCAACATTATGATTTTGAGTTGCCTTATCTGTGGAAAGTTAAGAGAATTCATGAGCTTTATCTGTCTCTTTATTACTATTCCTAGTCACTTGTAGAGAGAAACAATTTGAAGCTGAAAATTCAAACGATACTGGAAGAAGCTTCTAATCTTCTTCCTTATTGGCTGAATAATCAGCTTATGTGCGGTCAAAACAATAACAATAACAAAATTATAGGTATTAAAAGAAAACACAAGTCTTTAACTTTTTTGCAGAATCAGTTATGAACAAGGGAGAGTAAATTGTAGATTTTTCTTTCAGTTTCCTTCTTTTTTTTTTTTTAAATGCAATCCAGAACATTCAGACCTTTATTTGCTTATAAAATCATTACAAAACCTTAACACATGTTCACTTTGATGATTAATCACTACTAAAGCTAACTCAAATTGTCTTAAACTTAACATAAGTTAGAATAACTAACTAAAGTCCAAGTTAAATAGCTGTCAGCAATAACCTCAATATATATTAACCTTGACACTTCCATAAACTTGCAGGTTCATTGAGCCCACAATCTTGTTAAATCCTCCCCTCGATTCTCAGATCATGACAGAAGAAATCTTTGGCCCCTTGCTTCCAATTATCACAGTGAGCATTACTCCTGTCTTTCTTATTTCAAAGGTTCTTTTTTCGCATCTAAAGCATGCTACTGCTTATGCAGTTGGATAATATTCAAGAAAGCATCGAATTCATAAACTCCAAGCCGAAACCTCTAGCAATTTATGCCTTCACCAAGGATGAAACATTCAAGAAACAAATTCTATCAAAAACATCCTCCGGGAGCGTGACTTTCAACGACACCCTGGTTCAAGTACTAAACTAATTCTACCATGTGCTTAGTTCAATATTATTACAACGCAGAGGTCATTAAGTTTCAGATTGAACTTGCAGTTTATATGTGATTCTCTACCATTTGGAGGTGTTGGTCAAAGTGGCTTCGGAAGATACCATGGGAAGTACTCTTTCGATTCTTTCAGTCACGAGAAGGCAATTTTGCAAAGAGGTTTTTTCCCTGAGCTTGAGCCAAGATATCCTCCATGGAATAATTTCAAGCTCCAGTTCATCAAATTGGCCTACGCCTTCAACTATATTGGACTGATATTGCTACTTCTTGGATTGAAGAACTAGCAAATGAAACAAGCTTTCACCTTTGGACGAAACCAACAGTGCTTTGATGAACTTGATTGTATTTGCGCCAATGCTTTATATCAAAGACAAGAAGAATAAGCTTGCATTAGTATCTCTAGCATGCCTTCTGATCAATAAAAGAAAGTTTATCTATTAAATAAAGTTTCTAAATTCTTTTTTTATTCATGGAAAGGAGAAAGATTTTGACATACAACTAAGTCGAAAATATTTGTATTAAATATAAAAAATTAAAAAACTAACCAGGCTTTTTGGCATTGTCTGGTAGCCCATTATCTCCATAAATCTTCAGTCTCCTGGGACATTAATGATTTCTTGCTTTAAGCCCAATACCCAAAGAAGGACTAAAAAGAACACGTTTATACGTCAGCTGATATCGCAAGCAAATGGATGGGAATGGACGGAGATTTCGTCGCAGGGAGGAGAAATGGAACCTGCGATGAAAGTTGGGGTTAATTGATACAAACCAAACATTTTGGGTAAAATTAAGATAACTAATAAAATGAGGGGGGCAAGTTAAAGTTTTGACAAAAAAAAAAAGAAAAAAAAGATGTTTATATACGAGGAAAAACAGTTACGGAGCAGTCATATGTTGTTCCAAAGAAACGAAGATGAAGAGAATCCAGTCTAGTATAAGTGTTCATCGTACAACGATTGGGTTATTATTGTTGCTGGTGGTGTTAGCAAACGAAGCAAAAGTAACCAGAGCATCAAATTCAGCTTCAGCTTTTGTTCAAAACGTTATTTACTCCAACAAGATTGTCATCTTCTCCAAATCTTACTGCCCGTAAATTCTATGATTCTCTCTTCCTTTTTTTATTACATGGAATCAGTTGTTTTTCTTTTTCCTGTTTTATTTTTGCTATGAATATTGATTTGTCTTATTAGTATTAATGTAATGCCTTGTTGGATGTGAATCATTTTGTTCTTTTAGTTTTTTTTTTCAATGATTAATTTGTGTCTCTTTCTGTAATAAAAAAAAGTGGGTCATGGTTAGATTTTTGGATAGTGGGTTTTTGATATTGGAATTTTGTTTCTGTATGATTGGATTGGGGTATGAATTTAATTTTCGCTGAAAGTTTTTTGGATTTAATGAATTTCTGGGAATTCTAGTTTACAGCCAATTGTGTGGTATGAGTTTTGGGAATTAATTTTAATTCACAGCTAATTGTGTAGTTTGAAAATTGAATCTCTTGGAAAGAAGAGTTGTCATTTGTTTTCTTTTTATTGATAGGTATTGTATGCGTGCCAAGCGTGTGTTCAGTGAACTGAATGAGAAACCTTTTGCCGTGGAACTTGATCTTCGAGGTATCTATTTAGCTCCAGATTCATGTAGTATGGGTATCGGAAAAAAATGGTTTAAGATGGCAGTGTTTCTATGAATTTTGCAGATGATGGAGGGGAAATTCAGGATTATCTGCTTGATTTAGTTGGCAGGCACACTGTCCCGCAAATATTTGTGAATGGCAAGCATATTGGTGGCTCGGATGGTTAGACGCTCTGTGCCTTGCCCTCTTTCTTCTTTTTAAAATTTGCCTTCTTTGAGGGATGCATTAATTAGCATGCTCGAGTTTCTTCATTTGACTTTTGTTGTTTGATTGTTAATTTTGATGTTCAGATCTCCAAGCTTCCGTCAAGAGTGGTCAATTGCAGAAACTTCTAGGCACGGAGTAGTGGAAATGCTGGAATCTGATTTGAAGCTGCACCTGGTATTAAAATTCGTTGGAGCTTTAAGTAAAATTATCATAACTTGGTAAGGTTCTGTTTTTGTAGAGCTGTCGTAACAACACATTGTGTTGATATAGGGCTGACTTTGTCCTTTGTTTTGGAAATGTGAGTTGAAGTTAAAGAGTGTACTCCGTAAATGTTAGCATTTAAACCTTTGTTAATCTGAAGTCAAGACATTTTTTCTTGTACGTGTCTCGAATTCACTTGAGAGTTGCTCATGCATCAACGAAGAGTTAGAGGGAAGGATTCATGGAAGGCTTGGAATCGTTAGATGATTTTGTGGATCATATGAATTATCATGTCACTTTATACACGAATAACTATACAAAGGAAGAGAATGTCTTCCCAATTAGGTAGGTCTACATCACCCAGTGTTGATGTTTTTTCTGCAGGCATCATGCAAATTTACCAAAATGGAGTTTCCATGAGTTCTTATTAGCATCATGAACACAGCTAATTAATTTCAGTCGCTGATGTTGAATGATTCTGTGGCCATTCTGTAATGGATACATTGGCTCTGCATTGCAAGAGTTTTTCGCATCCACTGGATTTTCCCTTTATGTGTGAGGGAGAGGGCACTGGCTATGGAGAAGGTTTAATGATTGCTTTTTGTTTTGAATCAATGATAGATTTTCTATTAAAACAATATAGTGATTAAATTTGATGGCGAAACTGTGTTATCATGGTTGGCTGGATGACGGTGAACTCTAGTAGTTATTGGTCCTTAGTACGCATCCCTAATCCTTAGTAGTCTGTCACAATTTATCTGTAAGCTACTTAAGTTTCATAACTATGATCTGCAAAGTGATGGAGGGGGGCCATTAGTGGTACTGAACATTTGAGGTTCCAGATTGGTAGATGCAGCTAAGTGGCTAGGGTTATCTTTGTTATGAATTTTGCTAGCTGATTTAAATTGTTTGTTAACTTTGGACTCAAAGAAACGTCATAAACATGTTTGATTAGAAATAATTTTTTACTTGACTTTAAATCAAAAGTTCTGTTACAAAATCGGGTAAAAATCGGGCTTTAATCAAAAGTTAAAATTTTTAATTTTTGACTCGTGAATTCCATAAGTTATTATTTTTTCAGAAGTCATGCCAAACATACCCGTTCTGCGGTTCCAGCAAGCATAGTTTCTTGTCGAATTCCCATTATTTGTATGAATCTGTATTGGGGATAATCTTTTCGAGTGCCCCATCATGCATGTTATGAGTGACCAACTTTCTGATGCAAAATTTCGCCTGTAGGCCTATCATAATTCATGACTCTATGCAGTGATTATAGTACTGATAGTTTTAAAAGACAGCAAAAAATACATTTACCTAAACTGTATTTCAGAAGACTTTACTACATTCGAAAGAAAGCAAAGTGCTATAGTAAGCCGGCGTTTGCAGGTCAATAAACTGTTCAGAAGAGGCAGCACGCTACTATGAACCAGATGCCGTTTCTCTTCCATGATCAGGAGAAAGCTGCGTATGCATGTGGTCGCCAGTTGCCTTTTTGTGCGCTGAGCAAACCTTCTTGGTCTTTGGAGACGATTAGATGAACCTCCCAGTGTAGACACTTGAGCAAGTTCTCAACTTCGCCAATTGTGCTCGATTCATCTCGAACAATCAGTTTACCTCCAGGTCTCACGATTCTATCAACCTCAGCCAATACAGGAGCAAGTTGGCACCTGTAAAACCACCACAATCTGGCCATCAAGCTCTCTAGATGAACAAAGTGAATTACAAATGGAAAATGAGAAGTGCTGATCGATCATATTTACCTTTTTTTCAGCTTTGAGAAGAGATGATCAGCATGTAGGAGGTCGTAAGTTCTAGGGTATGTGCTGAAGGATTCGCACCAATCATGGTATATCCCAAAAAGACCTCGCTCATATATTATTGGTAGTGTATCTGGAGAGTCTGTGGTCACTACATTGAGCACCCAGACCTTAAGGTCCTTGAGAGCTGCTGCAAACCTGGATGCATAAAGAATAAATTTTGCATCATTATCATGTGAAGAAGATGCTTTATAACAACAGTGGATAAGCATCATTACCCTCCATAAACGGCTCTCATATCCATTATGTTTCTCACGTCGGACCAGCTGATGCCCAATCCCTTCATGTATGAGTTGCTCACGACATGTTTCCAATGTTCATAATCCGCCTCAAAATCTTGAGGAGCTGGCTTACCATAGATCCCCATCTGGGAGCTGTTTAGCCAGTAAGGAGGTGTTTGTAGTCTCTGAGGCCAATCCTCTGGCCATTTGCCCCCCTCTGAGATCTAGAAGGCACCCGGTGCATGCATGCTTGCAGAGGCACGTACCTGAAAATGCAGTACCAGAGAGAACATAATTAAATGGTTCAGTTAGCTATTGATCAAGCCATTTCCAATTGTTAGAGCTATCAGGAGTGCCTGAGATGAAACTGACCAGGCGGCATTTGCATCGTCATCGCTATTGCACATTGGAGGGCTGTTTTTTATTCTTTGATCATAGCAGTTATTTGTGGTTGGTTTGCGGTAGATGGCAGCACCGATACCGTCAAGTTTATCTCTCTGGATGTTCACAAGCTCCCAACACATGGATACCGTCAATGCAGACATAGCTAGCAAAATAACAAGAGGTCAACTTGATGTAAGTTTATAGATTGTTCAAATAATCAGTTCTCGATATCCAACCTTGCCATATCTCCACATCTTCCTCTAGCTTTTGGTAAACAGGAGTTGCTGACCACACAAAATAACCTCCTGGTCGGAGAACACGATTCAACTCCAAAAGCAGCTTTCCACCTGAACAAGCATCAAATCTTCTTTAGCAAAGGCTAATTACAAGAAATATGCCCTGTATGCTGTTTGTTCTATCGGAATCATAATTTATATGGAGTTGTGACCTTCTACGTGCCAAGGGACTCTGCAACGTGCACAATGGACGACATCGAAGACCCTACTAGGGAATGGGAGACGCTGAGTACCCATGACAGCAGATATTGCAGGTATTCCTCTTTCAAGGGCAAATTGAACTTGAGCTTCATGCTCATCTTTGGGTGCAAACGACATTGTAAGAACATCCCTTTCAAACATATAACCACCAAAGCTTGCAACTCCACACCCAACATCCAGTATCACTCTAGTATGCTTTCCCCATTTAATTTTGGGCGCTGCCTGCACCCATTAACAATGAATAAATAATAGGAATTCTTGCACAGAAAACATGCAATGTGGATGACAAGCATCCACCTGATGAGGATATTTTCCATTTTCCAGAATCCAGAGCCAAGTACTGTTTACCTGTTGAATAAAATCAATGTAGTGAAGAGCTCCATGTATGAACTGGGTTCCACCACCAGGGAAGGTCAAAAACTCACCAGTAACCTTAACCCAATTTTGATGACCTTTGACCTCTGCCAATTTTGTATGAGGTACGTTGTGATACCATATCTGCTAGACCACACTAAACAAAGTTACAACCCTACAAAATCACCCTAATCTAACCGTAAAGATTCAATGATATACCTTGTCTCTACTCTGCGGCCATGCGATGGGTCTTTTGTACCCTTCAGGAAGTGGGACCAAACAAGTGGGTCCAACCTCAGGACAATGCCTCTCTCTATGCTCATAGTGCCCGGTTGTACGTAATTGTTTTAAGGCCTTTTCATTATCCAAACAAGGTATATAATCAGGACCAGCAGTGACATTGCAGAGCTGCCAAGTGTACCCATACATGTTGTCATTACCGTCCGATTCCTCCTTCCTTCTCTCCTTTTGATTCTCTGACTCTGCTGCTTGAGTTGACCATGACTTCTTTGACTCCTTTGATTCTTTTGGTATTCCTGGGTTCGTGCCACCAGGAAATGCCGACTCGCCCAAGCTTGAGTCCTGCTTGGTTTCTTGCTTTGTGTTGCTATCGACCTGAAGTATTTGTTCGGTTTCTTGATCATGTGATGTTTGTTGTTGTTGTTGCTGCTGCTGCTGTTGCATTCTTTGTTTTTGATCTTCTTCAGATACCTCATTTTGGGATTCTTGAGAAGAATTCTGAACTCCAGTATCTTCTTGTCTTTGCTCTTGATCATGTGATGTTTGTTGTTGTTGTTGTTGTTGTTGCTGCTGCTGTTGCATTCTTTGTTTTTGATCTTCTTCAGATACCGCATTTTGGGACTCGTGAGAAGAATTCTGAACTCCAGCATCTTCTTGTCTTTGCTCTAGTTGTTGCTCTTCATATTTTTTCTCATTTTGATTAGATTCTTGATCGCTTTCATTGACTACATTACTATCTTCTTGTTGGTGGTCTTCAATTGATTTTTCATTTTGATTAGATTCTTGATTGTTTTCATTGACCCCAGTACTTTGTTGTTGTTGGTCTTTTTTTGATTCTTGGTTCTGAGATTCTTGCAAATCTTTACTACTATTTTCAACCTCTTGTTGCTGCTGCTGTTGCTCTTGTGCTTGATCTTGTCCTTCACTCTGACTTAAAGAATCATGTGAATTACTATCATCAGTTTCAGATACTGTACTTTGCTCTTGTTCTTGCTTGGCATTCGTTTCTTGTTCTTGGTTGGCATTCATTTCTTGTTCTTGATTGGCATTTGTTTCCTGGCTAACTTCAGATTGAGAAGTTTCTTGGCTGGTTTGATCAGTTTGTTGGTTTTGAGCGTCCGAACCTTCTTCAGAGATCTGATTCTGCCTTTCTTCCTGCTTCTGCGTCTCCTCACCAGATCCTTGCCCCTTTAAATCTTGCGAGGAGCTCTCTTGATCAGCCTTACTATCACCACCATCTGTTTCTTGTTTGCTGTCGTTACTTTCATCTTTATTGTCTTTGTCGTTATTGCTTTTGGGCTCGTCCGATTTGATAGCATCATCAGGAAGATCTCCTGGATTGTCTTCATAGACAGGCGTATCCTTTTTTATACTGGATTCCGTGTTTTCTACGTCATTGGAGGAAGAGACGTCCGCGTCCGCGGCAATACCAGCGGTGGTGGTGGTGGTGGTTGATTTGGTGGCATGAGTAGTGATTTGTGGAGTAGTAACCTGTGAGTTTGAAGTTAGCATCCAAACACCTATAACACATAATGCTATGAAGGCTATGGTGGTTATCGTTGATGTGTATGAAGTTGAGGAGGAATTGCGCTTGCTGCTGCGTGGCCTAGCCATTTCTTTTTAGGTTTTGAGCTATGCATGCAAGAGAATGTGAAAGAAATAAGATAGTTTAGAACGGGACGTGAGTGTGTAAAGCAAATGAGAGGTTTCAGCTATGCTTGTGGAGAAACGTGAGAGAAACATTCTAAGGTAGAATGCCTCAAAGATCCAAAAGAGTCGGAGAAGGGAATTTGTTATGCTTATCCTGTTTTTGTGGAGCGTGGAGAAAGCAGCAAGACAAGAGATGAGAATCATGAGCCTAATATCGCTATGTTTGGGCTGCATTTTAGTGGGATATATATTAAACTTGAGTTTCCTTGCAGGAACAGAGTAGTAGAGTTTGTGTGGAGGGAGAACTTTTGATCAATTGGGGCAAATGGGACATGAGAGGAAGCCAAATACTTAGTAAACAAAATAAATAAATAAACAATAAAGAAAGAAAGAAAGAAAAAAAAAAAAAAAAAAACCAAAACATTTACAAACTGAATTATATGGGCTCGTGCGAGATTGAATTGCACCCACAACCTTACCCAAAAGTTGGGCTAAATTGAACAAATTATAGGTTTTGAATACTAGTTTATATGATGCGGATATATGATCATAATGTATATGAAGATTATAAAAAAAGAAAAAAAAATTGATTTCCTGAATTTTAGCTATCATTTTTCTACCAACTGTTAAAAAATTTATGCAAAACATATGAATTGCAACAAAAAAAAGTTCAAATATATAGAATGCAACAAAAAGAATCCATTAAAATACCATATAATTCCAAGGTTAGAGTAAAAAATAATAATAATTTAGTTGGTGTTAATTAAAAAAGATAATTACACTATAAGTGTACCAACTTAGGTATACTTTTAACATTTTATTAATCGATTGCATGACTTGCTTTAATTTAATTTTCTAGTTTGAATATACTCGCTTTTACAAAGCTATCAATCAAGTATTTATGTCCAGTTTTTATCAATCTGTTTCGTTATCCGATTATGTGTCTTTTGTTCTAAACTACTAAGTTATAATTTTGCTTCTTTATTTTTGAAGAGAACTTTTTCTAGCAAATTATTTTTTCATTTTTTCCTTTTTGTATAGTAAATACCCAAATTGTTTTTATATCTAAAAAGTAAAAAATAACAAAATAATTTTACTATGGATTTTTTTGTACCAATCTCAATTAAAAAGATTTTAAAACAAAAGATTTAAAAGATAATTAGAAGATATTCTATAAGACAGTCTATCTTTCGAATTTGAATTAAATGACTAAATTATTAAGTAGGGTTATCTTACTCTTGATTCTAAAAATATTCAAATACTCAAAATAAAAAATAACTACTACCTATACTAGAATGCAATAGTCTAAAAATCCTTTAGTGGAAAGGTTTATAGAGCTACTTAGAATATCTAGACTGCAAGATTGGAAGGCGAGTATACCGTAAGTGAAATGACTAGAAATTAATACCTTGAGCACTTATAACAATATGCAATCAAAACAATTAAACCGAATTGAAATACAAGCAACTTAACCAATAACAAATACGTGAATTCAAGAATGTAAAGTTGAACAAAAACTAGAATCGGTAGACACCAAATCCAAATTTCTTTACAAATGGTAGTGACTTTATAAATACAATAACTTACGAAATAAAATATGATGAGCAAATATCAACTGGAACTTCAAACATTGAGAGATGTGATCCGGATGTGCTACAATACGAGTGAAAACCAAACCAAATATAAACTATCAGCCTATTGATAATGCTTACTATTATTTTAAGTGCTAAAACAATTTGAGAGCTAATGTTGATAATTTACAAGAATATTGCTATTGTATTTATTTATTGTGTCTTTCTACTCGTTGTAACCGATAGTTATACCTTTTGTATTCTTCTATATTCTTCTACACTAGCTAAGTTTTAAGCTATAACATCCAATAACTTTTTGCCTTGCACTAAAATAGTTCATGTTTGTTTTAGGTTGCAATACTCTATGTATTATGATATTCTCACTCATTCGTCGTAATGTTCCTACGTCTACAAGATTGGAAGGCAAGTATACCATAAATGAAATGACTAGAAATTAATACCTTGAGCACTTATAACAATATGCAACAAAAAAAAATTGAATTGAAAAACAAGAAACTTAACCGATAACAAATACGTGAATTCAAGAATGTAAAGTTGAGAAAAAACTAAAATCGGTAGACACTAAATCCAAAATTCTTTACAAAAGATAGTGACTTTATAAATGTAGTAACTTACGGACATAGAAAAATGATGAGCAAATACCAACTCGAATTTCAAACATTGAGAGATATGATCCGGGTGTGCTACAATATAAGTCAAAACCGAACCAAATATAAACTATCGACCTACCGATAATGCTTACTATTATTTCCTATAAATTATAACCTATTTTGTCTTAAGTGCTGAAAACATTTGAGAAATAATGTTGATAATTTGAAAGAGTATTGTTATTGTATTTGTTTGTTATGTGTTTATGCTTCGTTATAATTGATATTTATAGCTTTTGTATTCTTTTTATATTGTTCTACACTAGTTACGTTTTAAGATACAACATCCCATAACTTTTTGCCTTACATCGAAATGCTTCATGTTTTTCTAAGGTTGCAATGCTTTATGTATTTTGATATTCTCACTCATTCGTCGTAACGTTCCTACATCCCTTGTATGTTTCTAGCTTATGCCTTCGGTTGTTTGAATCAATTGCTCTTATATTGTTGTTAGTCTTTTCTTTTCAAAAAGGATTTGATTTCCTATATCTTTTGCCTATGATGCAAATCTATCGGAGTATTGTCTTTTGGATATCATACTTTTCATTTAAGTTGGGTTTTTTTATGAGTAGGCCAAAAGTCTTTCTTCATGTAGATTTAATTATATATCAAGCCCACTAGTCACCTTTAATAGGCTACGGCATGGGTTTTATAACCAAAGCCTTAGTGGAATTTTTTTAATTTGTTAAGTCGTCAAGCCCCAATCAAATTTGGGTATAGCATTCCTTTTTCTTCTTTTCGTGTGTCGAATTTCTTCCTATATGTAAAAAGAAATAATTACATTGTGCTTCTTTTTTACTCTTCCCAATTCCCAAAGTTTTAATAGATACTTAGAACTATGTGTCCCTTCAATCTATACAATGGTTAATTAAAACCACACAACTCTTTGACCTTGTCATATTAATACCGCAGAGTTTAAATATTATTTCAAAAATTGAATCGAGTTACGATCTTATAACAAGTTTTTTTTATTAATTTTATTATTATTATTATTTTGCAATTATAAGGTTTTTTTTATTTCCTTTCTTCAAACTTTCATTTGCATTATGCTTCCTCTTTAAAATTTTGCTAGTATTTTGCTTCCATGGCTTCTAGCAAATCTGTCTCCAAAATTGCCTTTAAAACTAAGGCTCAAAGGTCATCTTCCTCGCTTTAATCTATATCTAGTATTGTTTTACAATTAGATCAACACTTTAGTTCTACTCCTTCCTATCACCCTTCGCTAATCCATTACGCCTTGTTGTCTTCCCTGCAATGAGGTTTTCGATGCTCCCATTCTTAATCATTTTGATTCTAACGCTCAACCTTATTTTTAAGTCCTTTTTTATTTTAAGGTTATGGGTCCGAGGATGTTGTCCACAAAGTGTAAGAATTTCTAAAACGTTTGGTTCTTGATGAGAAGGTCATCATTCTTTATCGACAAGAGGTTACTCAAAAGGTGGCATGATATCTTTTTTTCTAGATATACCAAAAGGCCAACTAGGACATGGCATATTTCTTAACCTAAGATTGAAGCCCCGTATTACCATTTAAAGGGCCATTATTGTATTTAAAAAAATGGCAAATCATAAGGATTTCGAGGTGTTTGACCTCACCATATACAATATTCCTAACCTAAATCCTCCTCTATTTAGTATGGTTCTTCATTTATAGAATGTTGGTAATAATTGTATCCATACAAAGAGGGGACCTATGAAAATCAATCTAGAAGCTATGGTGTCTCTCACTCGGCTATTCTTTGGTAGGTGTAAACATCTTCATGTTATGACATCCACTTTGTTTGATGCCACTTTAATTCTCAATTTTCAAACATAATTGTGAATGTCAAGTTATACTCCTATTTGTGAATGCCAAGTTATACTCCTATTATGCTTAGGTCTTACTTGTCTTTTGAGGATAGAGTTGGGTTTTTATTTTCTTTGAATCGCTAGTATGTCGTTTGATGTAAGAGCACCATTATGAGTGTAAAATATATGTCTATGGCATTAGCACCCTTGTTGTTTGTTCATGCTAAACAAGACCTCTTTTTTTTCATTTTTTAGTCTTTTCACAATGATTCTCCTTGTCTTTTATAACTAGTGGTTTTATGAGCCATTACATACTTTTCTAATATAATAATTAGGTCTATTGACTCTAAGCTTGATAAGACCTACCTCACTTATGACCATTATTATAATGCTTACTATTCCTCTATAAACACAATCAGTTATAAAGATTGTGTTTCCATCATTTATTATAAGGGTTTTCCTACTTCTTCTGGGTTTTTTTCATTTGAATAAATTTTAGACTTGATTAATACAAGGTTTGTACTATGCAAAGTGTTGTGAAAGAGGACAATCTGGACTATAGGAGAGTAGTCCTAACTTGCAAAAAGCTCTTTATTTTTTTATTTTAGCCTTAGCTTCCAAACCTTTTTTTCCAAGCGATTTGGACTCGCCAAGACATTTCTATCCCTCGTCTCATACTATACAACCATTCTAGACATCGTAAGAGGTCTCTTAAAAGGGATGGAATTTTGACTTTACTAGAGCAATTATGGTGCTCTATAGTGCTATTATTGAACTTCTCCACGATCATATAGTACATGATCATAGAGGTATTTTTGCCTCTTGGTAGAGTAAGATGGCTTGAGTTTATTTTGCTAGGATGGAATGGTAAAGTAATTTAAAGTTTAGGTCGATCCGAGACCAATACCCATACTCAAAGGGAAAAGGTGAAGGATATT